CCTTCTTCTTTGCTTTTTCTCTTTCCTCTCCTTTTTCTCCTCTGGGCGGTCCAGGGGAGTCTGGAAACAAAAGTGTGTCACTGACTCTCTCAACTCAGCTCTGTCTCAGCAGAACCCAGCATGACCTTTGGGAGGAAGGAGCAAAGGGCTTGACTTGGACCGCTGCACACACCCCTGAAATATGCACACACAAAAATATACATTTACACACAAATGCACATACAGCATGGCACATGTGTGTGCAAATACGCATTCTCACAAAGGGACATAAATACATCAGCACACACACCTCTGCACATATTCATACAAATGTGCATATATAGACATGTTCTATATATACAAACACATGAGCACACAAACATAAATACATACACACATGTGCAGAAAAATTTACACATGTACAAATCTCACATTTGTGTACACAAATACTGGCACTCTCCACTAACTCCCTGACTCAGAGGACATCTGTCATTAATTAAGTCACTCAGCAAACACAATGAGTGCTTGTTATGAGCCAGACACTGTCCTATCCCAGGTGCTAGGAGAAAAACGTGGCTCAGGTCAACCTTGCTCCCTCTCACCCAGCAGCCGTTTCCAGTTTTTGATGAGGACTTTGGCCAAGGACACCACCTCCTTGTCTGAGCAGTGCTTTCGGACCCCATTAACAGCAACTCCAATCCTGGTGGTCTGCAAAGTGAGAGGGTTAAGGGCTGGTCTCGGAATGGATACGCAGGTCTGGCTGCCCTTCTTGGCAGGACCTGCCCGAGCTCAAACCTCCCACCCCCAGAGTCCTAGCCCTGACCCATGGCTGAGGTAAGATGCCAGGCTGTATAACTGAAGCCCTGACCTGCCACCCTGTGTGGGGTCCAGTGCCCAAGGCTCAGTCCCTACACTGATAACCGTGGCTTTGGTGAAAAGCTGAGGTGGGGCAGAGTGGTGGGGGTGTGGCTGATGATTAAGACTTCTCCCTATTCCCAGACCCGGCTTGTCTTTGAGCTCAAGTTTCAACTCAGACACAGCTCTGGCTATTACATCTTGGGTCTGCACTAATTTTTCAGAGCCAAGAGTTTCTGATAAAGTTTGGGGGCTATGTGGGCAACGCAGAGAGGATTTAAAAAGGGGAGGACTTTTTCCTTTCCTTGGATCACTGGACTCTAGGATCCTACAGGCCCAGAGCCTGGAGCTTGGGTTATTCAAGGAAAGCTCAAGGACCCCCTGAGCCTGGAAGGTATCCTGGCCCCCCACAAGATGCCTCAGTTTCTTCCTCAGTCCCTACCCTAAGAGGTCTGTACCTCAAGATCCCCCTCTCTCAGGCCTCCCCTTGGAAATTCCTCCCAGACCCTAACATTGGGAGTCTCCCCCACTGGGATCTTTCCCTCCTCCACAAGGTCTACTCCCAGAGGCACTCCCCCAAGGGCTTACCACCCCCAGCCCACCTGCAGTAGCTGGATGGACATCTGACAGCTGTTCAACTTCTTCAGCAGGTCCAGGGCCCCTTCCTGTGGGAGGCCACAAGGTCACAAGTGAGGCCTGGGCCAGAGCCTCTCTTTGACTACTGTGGGGTCTGGGGGCGGAGGGCAAGAAGATGCAGACAAGCGGTGGAAGGACAGGCAGGAAGGAGAGAGAAGGGAAAGCTTCTGTCTCAGACCAACTCTCCAGCTTTATCTCCTACCACCCAGCTGGGTCCAAACCCCTCTGAGCCAGGCTCCAGCCCCAACTATTCACCCTGACCTCCACCCTTGGGTTCTGCTCTGCCTTCTACAGGCGTGCCCTCCCCTTTCCCCAGCTCTTCCTCCAGAATGAATTAGTTCCAGGCTTATTGTTACTGCTTGTGTGCCTGTAGCCTTCTCTCGCTTCCCAACCATAAGCTTCCGCAGGGTGAGGACTGTGGGCTTTCTTTAAAAAGCAGTTTTATTGGGCCGGCCTGTGGCTCACTTGGGAGAGTGTGGTGCTGATAACACCAAGGCCACGGGTTCGGATCCCATGTAGGGATGGCCGGTTAGCTCACTTGGGAGAGCATGGTGCTGACAACACCAAGTCAAGGGTTAAGATCCCCTTACCGGTCATCTCTTAAGGAAAAAAAAAAGCAGTTTTATTGAGGTACAGATGACATACTAGAAACTGCACATATTGTTGTGCATGATTTGATGAGTTTCGATACACCCATGAAACCATCACCACAGTCAAGACAGGAACACAACCACATCCCTAAAAGTTTTCTTGTGCCCCTTTGCAATCCACACTGCCCTCCACACCCAACCCCAGGCAGCCACAATTCTGTCACTATAGGTGACCTTGCATTTTTAAAGATTTTATATAGAGTATAGGATTAACTCTTTTTTTTTAAATCTGGCTTCTTTCACTCAGCATAATTATTTTGAGATTCAATCCATAGTTCCTTTTTATTGCTGAGTAGTTTTCCATTGCATGTATATATCACAATTTGTTTATCCATTTACCTGTCGATGGGACTTTTGGGTAGTTTCCAGTTTGGGAGAAACTTCTGGAGCTACTACACATAAAGCTATGAACATTCATGTTCAGGTCTTTGTGTGGACAGATACTTTCATTTCTCTAGGGTAAGGAGAACTGTTTTAATCTCTGAAATCTTAGGGCTTGGCATAGGACCCAGTGCTCCAAGTGCAGGAAACTATGAATGAATAAAGCAGAAAGCAGAAAGCGGTAGAGGGAAAATGGAGGCTCAGATTTGAAAATTTGCTGGCTTCCAGGCCCTGAACACCCCCTGATTCATTTCAGCCTTCCCCTTCCTCCCATTCTCTTCTTAGAAGCCAGCATTGGCCTCCTGTCCTGAGATGGGTTCCCTGGGGACACCAGCTGACAGTGTCCTGTATGTCCCTTCCCTTGGCCTTCACTGTGTGGTTCCAGTGTCATCCTCCACCCTGCCCGGACCTGGACCACATCCCAGGTGCTGCCCTCTGTCAGCCCTCAGCCTCCCTTACAACTTGGGTTCACAGTATGTTTCCAGAGGCGTGACCTGCAGACGTCTGTGTAAATGAACTTGTGGGCATACAACTCCATGTGTAACATTAATTAAAGGCTTACTATGTGCTGGGCACTTGCATTATCACATTTAACTATCACAATGACCCTATGAGGTAGGTCCTATTTACTATGCCCATTTTTACAGAATTATTATCCCATTTTCACAGAAGGGAATGCAAGAAACAGGTGAAATAGTTTGCCAAAGGTTACACACTTTGTAAGGAGATGAGCTGGGATTCAAACTCAGGCCGTTGGGGCTATACAAAGTGTGTAGGTACGAGCATATGTCTGTCTAGACATGTATAGTATGGAATATCAGCATGGGTAAGTGCAGTGGCATGCTGGTCAACAATTAGCAACCAGTTCTCAAGGAAAAAAAAATGATTTGTAGTGTTTGCCAACTTCCATGGTGTGAATACTCCTCCCATGGTCAATTTCAAGCTACCAACATGCTGTCACTGAACTGAAAGAGGAAGTGGGAAGAGATGTGCAGTACCCTACCATCATATAATACTCATATTTCCGCCATATAGCTATAATAGAAGTTTCCTCTAAGCCATAGATAATAGAAAAATGTAACAAAATAATTATGAAGTGGTGATTATGCGGTATTTATTACCTTTGTTTTGAATATAATACACTTAATCGTAAGCAGATAATTTAATTTTTTAGCCATAGATAATAGAAAAATGTAACAAAATAATTATGAAGTGGTGATTATGCAGTATTTATTACCTTTGTTTTGAATATAATACACTTAATCGTAAGCAGATAATTTAATTTTTTTATAATGGCTGTGTTTAACAACAAGCTTGCAAAATTCCTGAAAATTCAACAATCGGTGTTAAGCCAGTTCCAGTTCACCACTGGGTGTGTGCCTCTATGTCACAGCTGTATAACTGGGTCATATTGAAGAATAGCCCTGAGCCTGGGTTGCAGCTGGATTCACAAAACTTTGTACAAACATTGCCAGGGGTGTCTCTCTGATGCACATATGAGATGTGGAGCTGGCAGTCCCTCTGGTCCAGGTGTGGAGGTGTGAGTTTGCAACTTGAGGCACAATTGTGTCTATTTGTTTTTGTGGGATGATGCCTGTTATAATGTCTGACTTGTAAATGTGGCTGTTTGCTAAGTCTAGCTTTGCGTGTCTGGGTGTAGCTGTGTTGTGTGCATACATGTGTGTAGCTATCTTTGTGTATCTTTCTGTAACTATAATGGTGTGTGTCATGTCAGTGTCAGCAGCATGTCTCATAGGCAGTTAGGTCTGTAGTTGCTTGTTTAGCTACTGTTGTGTGTGGCTGTGTGTGTGTAGCTGTCTGTCGATGTGTAAGTATGCGCTTGTGTAGCTGTGACTGTTGGTGCTTGGCTGTATGTTTGAACCTGTACAGTTGGTGCACACTCACAGCATCTGACAAAGCCCTAAGGTGCTGAGGCTTCAGCAATTGGCAATAAACCCTGGGCATGAGCTGCAACGTGGAGGATCCGTCTTATTACAGGAAGTGTGTCCTCCTCTGCCTAACCACCGCTGGGCGGGCCCTCTTTCATTCCCAGAGCAGCCCCACCTTTCTGGGTCAGATGCCCAGAGCTCTGTGCCCACCCATATGCTGCAAGAGCCCAGGCAGAGACGTGGTGTGAACTGGCTCCGCAATACAGGGATCCTGCGGCCAGACTTGTATCCTTCCTGGAGACAGTTCGGGGTACTTCCACAGGAACTCATCCCAATAGATACCATTTCCTCTTCCCATTTCACAGAAAAGGAAACAGAAGCCCAGAGAGGGATTGTAGAGTGGCTTGCCTAAGCCATAAAAGGAGTGAGGGGGAGGCCAGGGCAGGTCCCTTCCTCTTTAGCCAGAGCCCTACCCCAACCCAGCTGCCTTTCCCCAGATTTCCTTAGCTTCCCCACCCCACCCCTCTCACCCAGAGGCCCAGAATTTCCTTCCTGGCCCAAGCCTGGGTCAGCAAAGGGCTGGACTAGGATAACCTGTTTATTGGAAATGGAGTTCAGCTCAGAATACCTGGCTGGGCTCTGCACCCCCAGCTGGGATAGTGCCCCACATAACCTGAGGCTCACCTTTCCTGAGGATCTTGGAGGAAGCTGGAATGGGGCAGATGGAGGCTGGGAATGTGAAGGTGAGAAGCTCCCAGTACTCTGCAGGTGTCCCCCGTACCTTCCTGTGTTTCACCTGACCCTGCAGAAGCAGGGCCCTTGCACTAGCTTCTACCACACACCTATCTCATCTCTTCAATCCTCACCACGCCCTTCCCCCCAAGGCAGGTAATCTCATTTCCTTACAGATAAAAAAGCTGAGGCTCTCGCCCTTATGTGAACACCAACTCTTTACTACCAAATGTCTACTTTAGGGCTTCCTGACACTCCATGGTTCCAGTGGCCCCTCCCTCTGGCTTTGGCCACTCTTACTGGCTTTAACGCCTCCCTTAGGGTCTCTTCCTTTCCCAAACTCTTAGGGTGGCAGAAAGTACTGGAAATGCAAGTCCTGCTGCAGCACATGGCTATGGATAGTGGGAGGAAGAGAACCCTGGGGCAGGGCAGAGTGGAGGGGCAAACCCACCGGGTTCCTTTCCCTTATCTTGGAGTCAAGGCCAAATTTACTCTGGCTAGGCACCGGCCAACCGACTGTGTAGCCACCAGCCTGAGGCAAAGATCACAGGAAGGATCAAACATTAACTTCCAGGAGGGCCTGCACTCCGGGCTCCCAAGACCCTCAGGTAGGGCTGTGGGCCCTGATTCCCGCGGAGCTCCGAGGCCTGCTCCTCCCCCCGCCCCCGCAGCCCAGGCCTCGGCCCCGGCCCCCTTCCCCCGCCGGCCGGGCCCCAGCACCTGTTCGGCCCCCGCCGGCCGGGCCCCTCCCCGCCGCCAAGGAAAGGGAAAGTTGCAAACAGAACCGCCCCTGGCGGCCCGCGCTCTGGGGGTTCGGGATCCATGGCCCTTGGCTCCTCTCCCG